CTCGCTGAGGGCCTGGCCCGTGGGCGGTGGGGCTGGCTCCGTGGGGCCCCCGGCGGCCGCCCACCGCCTGACAGAGCTGAGGGAGGGTGCCTGGGAAAGGGGGGCGGGGGTCGTTGGAGCTGTGCGGGCGGGCTGGGGAGAGGAGGGCGTTTGGAAGCTGCGGAAGGGGTTACCTGGGACACCCCGCTGGCCCCAGGGCCGGGTCGCTTCCCCTCAGGGCCTTCAGAGTGGAGGGGATCCCCGGAAAGCAGCGTTTACAGGGCCTCCGTTGCCGGGAGACCTGGAAAGGAGCAAAGCACAAATAAATAATAACTACGCGAGCGGGAGGCTGAAGGGGTTATCGAGACTGGCGTTTGCTAGAAAGCTCGTGAGAGCTCGTTTGGCTCTTAGGCACAGAGAAAACGGGTTACTTCGGCGAGTATCGCTTTTTCTTGGTGTATTGATTCCATCAAATGTTCTCTTCTTTTTCAGCAATTAGAGCTAATCACACCCTTTCAGCTGTATTTCAACCCTGAATTAATATTTAAACACTTTCAAGTAAGTGTTTTCTAAAGTATGGGAGGTTTTTAAGTAAACTATTGATTTTAGACATGCTTGTCTTGTCAAAATTGAGTGTTATAAGTGACTATGACTTTTCGTATTGGAATTATATCTTAAAAAACTAATGAAGATAGAGTGCAGATCACTGTATCTTAGCTTAGGTCTTGGATTCATTGACTGTAAAGGACATTTCAGTTACGTTGTTACTTGCTTTTCTATTTAGACAATAAAAATAAGCTCTCCTGTTTAAAATCATTGTATTTGTTTTATTTCCAGGTATGGAGGTTAATCACAAACTACTTATTCTTTGGACCAGTTGGCTTTAATTTTTTATTTAATATGATCTTTTTGTATCCTTCATCAAGTTTGTTTTCTTTCCTTGGAAGGCAGAGCTCCAGAGTATAGGCATGTTGCTATACATGCATATAGGCAAAAGTTCAGTTCTGTTCCACCATGAAGTTCCTGGGAGTTTAGCAATGCCGACTTCACTGATGTCGTGAATGGACATCAACAGGATCTTCTTCATAAATTGCCACTTATTTTTGTGGTGTTAAGACTTCGTCGTACAAGCCTGATCCATCAGGTTGCTTCTGACATACAGGAGAAAATTCCAAGTAACTTCTTTTCTCCTGGTCTGCCCTCTCTGCTGAGGCATCCAGAAAAAGCCAATTGGTGAAGTAAATTGATACAAAACTTAGATGTAAGTTTATGTATAATTGAATCCTTTTCCACTTGGATCTCTCTTTAAACTCATTTGCAATCAAATTTTCCTGACCTGCAACTTCAGATATCGTTACTGCCGAATGCTTGAAGAAGGCTCTTTTCGAGGTCGGACGGCAGATTTTGTATTTATGTTCCTTTTTGGAGGACTTTTAATGACTGTATCCTTCTATTTTATTCCAGACTGCTTTAGTAAAGCTAAAGATAAGTGAATGAGAACTGCAACCATGTTGTTATTTTTATCTCAATTCTTAGATGATAATATATTTTGTTTGTAGTACAAGGGGTAACAGTATTTGTTAAAGTAGCTTTGAATGCTTTGTGACAGTTGCTATTAAATACTGTACTGATCTTTCAGGCTTTTTACTGCTTGACAGGATTATGGAAACGAGATTATCAGATAAGAGGGGACTGCTCAGGTGTGTAATCGCGCTCAGGTTGTCTAAGAGAAATGCTGGTGCTTTGGTGATTTCATGCTAAATTATACTTTAAAGAGATTATTCATGCTGCAAGTACCCTGAATCCTGCTATAGGTGTTGAATTTGATTGACTGTAGGTTTGATTTACTTGAACCTGGGAAAGTAGAGTTAGCAGTTGTATGGAAAACATAGGATTATGGGTTAAGCTGTGAAATTCTTCTCATGCTTGACCTCGCAACAATTACTTCATGAACTGTTTTCTTTAACTACCCATCACAGGTTTTTGGCCTGTTTGTGAACTTGGTTTTCTTGGGTCAGGCATTCACAATAATGCTCGTGTATGTATGGAGCCGCAGGAATCCCTATGTCCGTATGAACTTTTTTGGTCTTCTCATCTTTCAAGCCCCATTTCTACCCTGGGTATTGATGGGCTTTTCACTACTTTTGGGGAACTCCATCATTGTGGATCTGCTGGGTAAGGAATTGCAATAATCACAATGTTTTGTTCCTGCTAGTGTTATACATGAAAAAAAAAATATGGAAAAAAGAAAGGGCTAAAAGCCTCTTATTTAGCATTAGTTAGTCTGGTATAATGGTGCTATAGTTATACCAGGCTTTGCTTGCTTTCTAAGCACTGTAGTGTATTTTGTGCTGTAACAAAGATGGAAGGATGATGCTTTGGCTTTTTATTGCTTGGGATCAGCCCAGGTACATAATCTGATTGTGGGTATCAGACTACTGAAGTAAAATAGCTTATATTATTATTTTTATCAATGCTAATAAAGCCATAACATCAGTATTTTCAATAATGACAAGCAGTTTTCCTTGTGCTAATGTAAGTTAAGCTTTTCATCTAATGTCAAGTTGCTTCATTGTTTTTTGTATTTCTGTATTTCTTATTGTATTTCCTGTTAAAGAAACAATATGTGGTTTTGTGGGTTTTTTCCCCCTGAAAACTAGCGACACATTTGAAAGTTGTAAAGGAGAAGTATTGAAAAATCACCATTTGACTTTTCTTTGTATACTAGGCATTGCTGTCGGGCATATATATTTTTTCTTAGAGGATGTCTTTCCCAATCAGCCCGGTGGCAGAAGGCTTCTGAGAACACCATCTGTCCTGTAAGTATTGGTGTCTGATTTGGAACGGATGTAGAAAAAGTACTTGCATGGAAGACTATAATTCTGTCACATCTACTTATGGTAAATTAGACCATTTGAGACAGAATTCTGGTGTGTCTGTACTTGCTTTTTGAATTAGCTCATATGTGGCAAACAAGGGAGGCGGGTCTTACAGATGTGTAAGGGGGAACTGACTTATTGCGGAGAAGGGCTAAAGGGGTTTTGTAACCCTTGATTTCTTCGGTAACACTTGTTAGTCTTTGAGTTTTGCCTGTTGGTGGCACCAAAGCTGCACGCCTGTTACTGAAGTGTGAGAGTCCTGCTGTGTATGAACAGTGTGACTGAGGTATCAAATATATCTAATATTTTTTTCATCTGTAAATCATTCTCTATTTCACAACTTTGGCAAAAGACTTCAGTGTTTGCGCTATTGAGTGGTGCTATTCTTACTTGGTTCCCTCTTGCATGGAGGGCTGTAATCATCTGTAGTGCTGTACAGCAGCGTGGCTGAGAACAGCTCTCCTAAATGATGGGGCACTTGAGATATTGCAAGTTGAGCTCTGTGAGACTCTTGGAATTCTCTAGAGCTGAACGGAATTATCTTGCTTGTTTGTTTGTTTGAACTGGACTCCAGAAGCCCGGGTAATTAAAATGTCATATTCAGACCCATGCTTAGTTTAAGTGATGGGTCATTCCTGTTCGATCGGACAAGTGAACTTACAGTGGTGGTTTATTTTTGTTCAGTATAGACTTTATCTTCAGCAAGTAATTGTACCAGGTGATGGCTGCAGGAATGGCTGTCCCAGAGCAGCTGTGCTGGGCACTTTTGTAGGCCTACACTGATCTAACTTGGCCTTAAGAGCTGAAGGCCATGTCTGGTGAGGGCTGCCTCCACATAAATGCACCTCTAAGCAAATTAAGTGTCCAATTATGCATATGCAATAAGGGTATGTTTGAGATTTCCCATTTTCACAGAGGGTATGTGCACCCAGCTGTGTGCAGGAGGAATCCGGAGGCTGTGGGAGCAGTGTGTGCTGTCTCGGTAACTCTCTTCCTCTGTGGAAGAAGTGTCAGCCTCTCTTCAGGCTGCCATTGAAATCATTTTACGTGTCTGGGTTCAGAATGCTGCTTATGATTCTTGTCTGGGTCTAGAATTGTGGATTTCTTTTTTCCCAGATGCTTTAATTTTCTTTGATGCCTTAGCTATAATCCTGTAATACCCCTGGTATTTTCTTTTTTTCTGTTCTGAAAACTTCTCTGAAATCAGTCAGGCTGTCACTCTGAGTGAAGAGAGATAATCCCTTTAACTGTTCTAAGAACTGTCTTGTTAAACACACTTTACTTTTAAGACATTTTGGATATAATGATTGCTTGTGTGCAGACTGTGATTTTTTGTTTGTTTGTTTATGTCAAAGAATCTACTACACTTTTGTTTCTGGATAAACAAATCTATGGAGAGAGAACATCTAAAACTCGTTTTGAGAGTGGCGAAATAACCTTCTAGATTAAGCATGATTTTTGTGATAAATAGGAAACCCAAGCCTCTAGTGTCCCAAATGCAGACTTTTCTGTGGATTTCAAGTCTGCCTGTCAGTCATCCTGCCTGTGAGATTGAGATAATACTGCCTGTATTTGACTCTTACTTTGTCCCTTCCTCAAGATGCGAAGAGCTCTTCAATATCCCATTCCTGTTTTGCTCTCTTATCCTGTCCTGGGAGAGCACGCTAGCTGTATGAAATTCTACCTTACACTGGAGGTGGAATTTTAACTTTCAGCTGAATCTTGTCAGTCTCAGTTGATGTAGGCACATAATTCTAGACCTTCTTCCAGATGGCTCCTAATTGGAGAGCACATGTGACTTGGGTGTAAATCACCAATGCTTTAGCAGGCTGTTTCTGAGGGAGGATGCTGTACATGTGCAGAGTTTGAGCAGTCTTGGTCTTATTGTGAAACTTGTATTCTAAACGGGGGGGGAAAAAAAAAAAAAAAAAAAAAAAAAACAACAACCCCAAACCCCCAAATTTCTGTTTTCCAGGAAAGCAATATTTGATACACCAGAAGATGATCCTAATTACAATCCCTTGCCAGAAGAACGACCGGGAGGATTTGCATGGGGAGAAGGTCAGCGCCTTGGAGGCTAATAAGTGTCTGTGCCAAAACCCAGCGACAACTGGGAGAGACTGACCTGAAAAAAGTTCTGTACTGGGGACTCTCTCATTCTCCATCGCAGAAAAGACACTTTTAGATGGCTCTATAGTTTTGAATACAAGCACTTTATGAAATGGCAGTCTAATCCAAGACACTTCCAGCCTACCAGTGTCTTTCCCAGTCAGGGAATTTATTGTGCTGGTAATGAAAATACTAATCCAGTGGAGCCAAAAAACTGAAACTGGAAACGATTTCCTGTCAACTTCAGTTAACAAGACCATGAGTACTTGTTTAAAGTGATTTCTAAAGCATTTTTTCAAGTTATTTGATACGGGAAACTTTACAGGGGACAAAAACAACTTTTGGGGGTTTAATTCATTTTTCTATTCTTGGATAAAACAGCTACAAGACGGCTGAAAGCGTAAGTCCCTATTTCCATGGCAAAGTTTGTTTTAAATCTGAGATGCTATCATCTCCAGCCTTGTTTGAATTGTAAGAAATACAGCGTGCAGCATAATGCAGGCTTTTCGTTTTGCCAGTTGGGTTTCTGGGATGTGCCTCTGTGTGAATGCACTTGCAGCCTGAGACTGCATTTTGATGGCTTTTCCCCCAAAGACCGTGTGTTCAGATGCCCAGGGTTGAGTCTTGCCGGTTTGTTTAAATAGGTAGTTCTACAAAATCCACACACACCTGCGCACTTCTAACGGTTATTAAATGACTTGGAGCGCTAGGGAAGAAAACTTGTCTGCAGTCAGAACTGCTCAAATATCTCAGATGATGAGTTGAATAAAATGTCTTGTGGATCCTTTTTTGTTAATCTTTAATGTAATCCTACAGTCTTGAGGCAGCTGGTGAAAAGCCAGAGGCTGGAAAAAGCAAGTCCCTGAAGAGACGGCATTAATGCAAGCTTTTCCCACAAGTGTGTCTCAGAACTGCTAGGAAACAGGATTGTCTGCTCAAGATGTTAAATTTGTGGTCTGTATGTGACGTTTGTTGTGGGATGACTGTGTGCCCAACACTGGTCAGTGACACCGAGTGGGATTTAGCTTGAAGTTCTGTTGATTATAGATATCTATATGAGGAGGCACAAAAGGAATTTGGAGCACAGTTCGGGTCATGGCATTCAGTCACTCCTAAGATGTTATGGACTGTACTGAGTAGCCCTTTATTGATTATATCATGATAGATAAAACCAGATATTGTTGAAACTGCATCTGTCTCCCAGATTTGGGAGGATAGGCTTGCCCTTGACACATGTGGTCACCTTGTTTAGTCTCAGATTTTGCTGTTCTTAAGAACTGGCTACTGTTTTTTCACTTGTTTGTAGTCCAGGAGATGAATATGTTGGGATCTCATGGGGAAATGCTTTGTCCACAAGCAGCTTATTAGATATTCTGATAAACAAAACTGATAAGTCTATTTGTATCCGCATTTTCTCTCTTCAAGGTTATGAAGATTTATGGGATATACATCCTCCCCCCCCCCCCCAAAACAGACTTTAGTTCTGAAACAGCGTTTAAATCTTACTCTGTAAGAGTACTAAAATTGTTCTGGGCAGTGTTGCTTCAGGGTAGCTTTTGAGACAGGAATTAGATCAAGACCATTTTTTAGTTCAGTGATGGGGAGTCCCTTAGCAGTTTGCTGGTGGGACACTGGGGAGCGGGGATGAGGCCGGAAGACTGTGGCTGGGGTGAAACCCTCTGTAAATCCAGGGCCCCGCTCTGGGGTGGGGGAGTTGATGGGCCCTTCCTGAGGGTGACCTCGTCGAACTCATGTAAGGCGTCTTGTCCATCCTTGATCTTCCAAAGCTGCTTTCCTCACACGCCTCCTTCCACTCCGGTGGAGCACGGAAGATTGTTCTCTGTAAAGAGTAGTGCTGTAGTATCCCTATCTGGGAAGAACCTGGAAGTGTCGCTTACCTGTGCCCCAGGACAAAAGTGACCGTTGCTGTCAGCCTACCGCCCACCTTGGCCTTTAACTGCCCTTGAGCCCGTTCTGGGGCAGCCTGTCCCGCACAGACTGTGTTTAAATACCGAAGGCCTCTGGAGAGTGCATCGTCAGCCGTGTGTGATGTCAGGGCTTGTTTGTGCTGACAAATCATAAATTGGGATGAAAGCTGCCTCTCTAGGGTGTTACCTGCCGGTCGAGTCTCTGCCCCTCTTGGCTGTAGT